TTTTGGAGCTAAGTAATTGTAATTGTAATTAAATTACATTTTGAAAGTAATTTACCCATGTATGATCCCGAGGTACCCGGCCCGACTCAATCGCCTCTCTGCGGTGACGTCACGGGAGAAGCGCTCCGGCCTTGACTCTAGGTGGTGTTGCTTAATATCGAGGCCGTTCCACAAAGACAGTGTTAGACAATGTTACTCACTCGTGCACGTGGTCAGAAAAACTCGCGTAGCGCAGGTCAAAATGTTCAGAGAACGACTCCCTTTCGCAGAAGGACATATAAAGCTCCCTGGCTTCGACTGCTGCGCACGTACGGCTGTGCTGCCCTCTCTCTTTACGCCACAAAATTAGTCTCCGGACTTTTTTTTATCGCACTTCGTATGAAACGAACAAAGCGCAAAGGTGCAAGCAAGCTCGTGCAAATTAAAGATGGCGAGGAGTACAGGACACTGAGATTACATGGTTACACAGGGGACAACATTACCTTGATGTAAATGAAGAATCGTCACGTGCCTAATGAATCGACTAGTGCAGCCATTTGCACTAAAGCAGACGCAAGTGCACCGCGTTATGCAACTTACAGCTCCTGAATTTCAGTTACTATAAAGTCATCAGAGCTGTATTGAACATCATTTTTTTTTTCGTATAATCTTCTAATAGAAAAAGAAAAATAACAAGATTGCTGCCTCCATCTGCCCAGCAAACTTAATGGAAATTTTTGACTATCCATGTTTCACTCCGAAGACTTGTGACACTCATGATTGATTGTCGATGTAACCCCACCCCTTATGTAATATTCCCCGCAGGGTCTTTAAGGGAGAAAACTTCACGGTGACATTCAACAAAAGGAATAAATAAAAACGCGTAACCGTTCGAAGCTATCAAATATTCCAGCAGTTAAAAAAAAAAAGAAACATTGAAATTAATTTTACTTTACTGCTGGCTATGAATATTTTGCATACTTCTTGATGGAGTCTTCCCAAGGGTCCTGGTACAATTACCGTATTTTTCCGTCTCTAAGTCGCGCATTTATATTTTCGTAAGGTAAGCGCGATGAAACTGCATTAATAAGCCTGTATAGTCAGTTTCAACATTCTCGCCAACGAATCGAACAATGCATATAACCCCTGCGACAAATTTGCACACTTAACTTCTATACTTGACCAAAAATAAGGTATATAAGTCTTATACAATTCTATACACAAATTTTGTGAAAAAAAAAAATTTGCATTAGAGAAAGGTATGTGCCCTACAGTTCATTTGGAGCGTCAGTATCGTATGTAATGGTCAAGACGCTCACTAAGAATGCAGAGTGAATAAAAGCTGATATAACTACACAGTCGGAATGTGTATACGAAAACCAGTATAGCTCTAGCGCGATTCCGAACGAACATTAGAGCGTTTTAGGGAACCATTTTTGCACATCCGATACCGTACGATGGGTCCTCCAGAACGAACTGCGCATGCGCCACCGCAGAAGACTCGCGCATGCGCAGTTCGTACCGGAGGGCTTATCGTACCGTATCGTAATTGCAAAAACGGTTCCCCAAAACTCCCTTATGAAGCAGTGGTCACACCGGTACCACGTCATACACAAGACAGTGTGCAGAAACCGTCTGAGGACGTGTTTCCTCCTTACAGGTATATGACCGGTCCTCTCACGTTGGTCCTACAAAAACTGTCTGCAGACATGCTGCGTATGAGGCAAGTATGCTTCGAGTATGCTCGTGGTGTGTTTCCGCAAATGATCATGTCATCGTGTCTGTAGCGACCACGGTGTCTTTTGTGTGATGTGTGAGCAGTTGAACTGCGGCTTTAAAGGCGCCAACCTTCACCTTTGAGAAGCGCTCTGGCCAGACCTGGTACCAGAGCTAGGAGATTTTCACAACGAATCATGATTTGACCGAGTTTTCGCGTCGGCGACGGATTTCCGGACTGAAGGAGGAAGGTTCGGTTTCATTTTGTGTGCGTGTTTGTGTCTGTATGTGTGTGTGCGTAGATGTGCATTTGTTGTTTTGTATACTGAATCATCAAAATCGCTATATCGACATAAAGCAAATCGCCCAAAAAAGTTTTGTAGAAAAAAAGAAAGAAACACGAAAAGCCTTATGTGCCACGTTTTCTCAGAAACGCAAAACACGCTCGACGTAAGGAATTTGAAACTGTCTTTATTTCATTTTTATATTCTTTTTCTGGAACGTGGTAGACGATAGTTGACGCTGTTTGTTTTTCGTTTTCACTTTCGAGGTGATCGGCCCTCTCTGAACCATGATCTCTATAAACGTTCTTTCTTTTTTTAAGTGGAGGGAGAGGAGGGGACGCTGTTCCGTCTAAGTTCGGAGAAAAATGAATATTATGTAAACTAACCGATCGTCGCCCCGCTTTCGCTTTGTTTTCCTTTTCATCGGGGTCAGATGATGAAACGGGCAAGAAAGGTCACTTTGAAGTTGGGAAAACTTTCCCAGTAGCCAAGGCAGCAACGCAGGGAGTGAGAGCTGCATGGTTGCCGTGCGTCCGTTACGAAATCCTTTCCCCTGCCTTCTTTCCTTGGGTCGCTTTCCACCGAAAGCCCTTCCACGATCCAATTTCAAAGTTTGAAGACGTTGGCCGCCGCTTTATCTTTCTCTAAGCGCTTGTATGACAGGTTGGGCGAGGGGGTCTTGCGGTCAAAAAGGTTCTGTAGACAGACACCACGTGCCGCGAGGTATGAGGACTTTGTATTCACGTATAAACTGACGCAAGCCTCACAAGGTATCTGCAGGGTCACGAAAATGACCCGGTAAATGACCGGTGATGCCCTGCGTTATTGAAACCTTTTGAGGATATTATGGATGCTGAACTGCTTGTATTCAAAAGAGCACGACTATACCCGCCAGTTGGGACCTCGACTGAACATGATTAACTGTTTTATCTTTTCTGTGTTTGTGCTCTGATTTGTGGTGGGCATCTCACAGAAGCCGTACATATTTTTAGTGCGTAACTCGCTCTGATGTGATTCACGTCGTTCCGTGATTGCGGGGTTTCCTTTGGTGTTTCCGAACTGCGGGGTGCTTTTTATGTTTCCAATGCTTTTAAAATCACTACTATTTTTCATGTAATGTTATGTTTTGGTGGCTTAGTTTTATTTCGTGGTGTGTGTACTGATTGGTTAAAATTGCAGCTATAAGTGACCCAATTTAAGGGACGCCTCTAGGATGGGGCAACTATATATGGATATGATATGAGCGTAAGGGGGATTTTTTTTATTGAATTACATGAGCAGGTTTATGGCCCGGAAAGCCGTGTCAACAACAAGAGAGGTAAACCCCATAATATATAGATAAAATAAATAGATACGTGAGGAGCGGTGAAGGTATTTAAGTATATTGTTCGGCAATGAACTTAGGTAGACCCTCACAGTCAGGTGACAGTTCCGGTTTGAGCTTCCGAACCGAAAACATCCTAGCATCTCTGTCACACTCTGGTGTTCTAAACCGTGAACAAAGCATTTAAATGCCATAATAGTGGAAAGTTCCAAGATTGCTTCGCGGCACTTTCAGTAAAGCTCTGTAGAACCTCGGCATGAGCTTGCTAACACTATACAACAGCATGGCAAAGCCCATTACGCCAATGAACACTCAGCCTATCCTTGTCAAGGCTTTGCATGTACAGTACCTGCGTGCGTTACATAGGTTCACTCTTAGAACTTTATGCGCGTACCTGATTGTAAGTCGAGCATTCTGACACTGCCATGCTCCTAGTGGCGTAGCTTATGTCTGTATTTTGGTAGGTTGAGCTGGAGCCCAAAGCATGCAAGTTAACACGTGCAATATATGTACTCAAAATTGTGTGTCGTAAGCTTGCAATTGCACAGAAAAAATTTCATGCTTGTTTAAAACCTACATGGTGTCTAAACCCATGCACGCCACATCCGCTCGCCCATAGTAGATATCGGGCGTAACAATCTTCTTGCGTATGGTTCCGAAAAAAAAAAAGAAAACAGTAGCTTTCCTTAATAAGTGCACAAAAAATATTGAATTTTGATAATCTGTGAAATAAACAACACGTAACTCGCAATAGTGCGAAGGAAGTGACAGCAATCAAGAAAATAAGCCAGTGTATATAACAAGTTATCATTCAGCTCTTTTGATTTTCAATACATTTTTTTAACTACCTCGTATTCATTTAACCCCAACCTCTATTAACAAGATATCTACCACGCCTCGGCTTATTCCTCTAGAAGTTGCTCCTGTTGCTATGGAGGAACCTTCATGATCTAAAAGCTTCGGCTCGTAGGTTACTCTCAGTTGTCACACAGTGTCTATATACTAAAGCGACCGACCAAGAGCAGACACTTTCCTTTTAATCCCATTTTTTTTTCTTCTTCTTCTTTTTGTTAATGTTACAAAAACAACCTCAAGACGCATGAAAAAAAAAAAAAAGCCGCCTTTTGAACCTTTTACAAGTAAAAAGGAAAATATATCTTTTTTTTTTTCCTTTTTAGCAGGATTTTGGGAGCAGACAGCGGAAACAAAGTACATCGTCATGGAGATCGCCTCTATAGACTTCCTTCATCACGAAGCTGACACCAAGTGCGAAGCTACATGCTCGTTGGACCAGTCATACGGGTAGTTTTCTACTCGTGACCAAGCTCCCACATACGCAGGCGCGAAGAGCGGGGTCGGCTGATAAAAGGGAGGCGGTTCATCGGTCTGGACATCCCGTAGCTCCCATCATCCTGTCAGCTTGGCGGCGAACGGAGCATAGCAGCAGCGGTGGCTCGGAAGTGCCAAACGAGGCAAGAAGAAGGTGTGGTTCCCGCCGATATGTTGACACATTTCTCCGCGTAATCGATCCTGGCATGCGTCGCTATTGAAACGACGGTTTATGTTGTACCTACGCCCCTGATCACGTAGCTTATAAAGCTATCAGGCTTCAGCCGCTTGTCTCGTTTTTTTCTTCATCAATGTGTCTTCTTCCAACTTACTTTACATCACATTCGTCTAGTCTCTCATCCTTTTACCTTCTGCTTGATCCCTTGAGCCAGGAACGCTTCGCAAGCACCCATTTCGAGGAGAATGGCTGTCGCCCTCAAGTCCCACGTTTCAGGGGGAGCGAAAGGATATTTGACGGGACTGTAAGAAAGTACGCAAGAATTTAATTTTTTTTTACCCAACGTTTATTAACTTATTTCGACTTTTTTTCGTAGCTCTGACCGAAGGTGTCTTACAGAGGCGCATACCTGGAGTGTGGAACGCCATTGTTGCTGCCCCAGCGGGCAGTTACGCTTGAACTTCCGCGGGTCAGAGGAAAAAGCAAGTATATTGAACGGGTGAACTATATTACATTATTCAATCAAGAAAAACGCAAAACTCGGGAATGTGGAAGGGCACGAACTCAAGAACCGTGATGAGAGCCAAACGCATCGGCGAGCACGTTCCGCCTCCTTTCAACTCGTTGTTTTTTTGTGTTTTGTTTTGTTTTGTTTTTTTATTTGTTTCTACGCAGAGAGAGAGAGAGCGTGAGAAAGAAAATGAACGTTCCGTGAAACGTGTGCGAGCGTGAACCAAGTGCCGAAGACTCCAGACTCACCAGCCCGAAATTTGAGCGACGGTAGCGTTCAGCATCCGTTTTGCCTTCTTTTTTTTCTTTTTCTTCATTTTCTTGTCTCATTTTCTGTCACTCAACGTCAGTGCTCCTCTCGGAGATGATAACGAGGACACGCGTACACGCTCCAACGCGATCGTAAGAGAAACAAATGAGAGAAATCAAAAAGGATATCAAGCTTTCTTTCAGTGGCGTCTAGTTCCCGCCCTTCCTGACAACCATTCGACGATTGTACACCATTCGCAACTCACTTCTTCCTTTTTTCGCTGCTTTATTTTCTCTCTTCATTCAGGCTGTGTCCTTTCAGACGTTTTGCCAATCTTCCCCTTCGGCCTCAACGAAACAAAAGGAAAGAAAACAATGAGCAGGGCGTACTGACCAGCGCGTTTTCACGTCCGTCTTGCTTCCAGCTCTTTGCTTCTTTTCCCGGAGTGGGTGCTCGAAGCGGTGAGGCCGCGAGGCGGAAGAGGCTTGACACCACTGTACTATGTTTCACTCTGTGATGGACCGCGATGGGCGCTACGAGCCATCCCGGCCAATCCAGCGTTGCGACAGCTTGTCACGTGACGACTTTCCCCGAGCGTCGCTACACCCCTTTCCGACGGTCACGTGAGACAGGCACGGCGCTCGATTGGCTTCGTTGAGTCGTAGCGTTCACTGCGGCCTATCTTAAGGTGAAACAAAACTGTAGCAGGTTCGAGATTGTCCTCTTTTCTGGCTCATTAACCTGTCCGTCGCACTTTGCCCCGCTAGAGAGCCTGGATTTCAGAGAGACGAGCAAGCCAAACCATAGGGAGGGAGCGTTTTCAATTTTGTGGCGGACGCCTCCTGCGGAGACTGGTCGCAAGCGCGCGTGCGTGGTGTTTTCACGTGGCGAGGAGGATGGAAAGCGTGCGGAGAGACGGAGGACGCTTGCGGACAATCGACGCTTTGGCGACCTCCTCGGAGCACAAACGCGGCCCGTAATCCACGTGAATCCGATGGAGCAGTCGGAAACACTCTAAAATCGTGGCACTCCGTCGTTCGTACTATCCTCGCCACTCCTTCCGTCGCCGATCCGGTCAGTCAGGGTCCGAAAGCATTGGCTCTCCGCTCCCATTACGAGTGAAGAGGCTGCCAACGAATGTCGCCAATTTCGTCGAAGAGTGCGGGCCGGATCGCCTCGCTGGTCCAGCGGCTAATCGAACGAAACATATATACCTGCCCCCCTCTAGCTTCTCCCGGTGATCAGAGCTTCCCGACCAGGAGAGCAAAGGTCCTCCCAAAGCTTCGGGTCACGGGCAAAACGCTCCAGAGGCACGTCGAAGCTTTTCTCGCGCGAGCGTCTCGTGCCTACGAAGCGGCGTTGACGGGGAAGCAATAGCGGGGCACAAGTGACCCAACTCACTTGGTAGATGGAAATGCAGCGGTATCTGATGATGACGAGGGGGAATGTATTAATCTGTAATTTAAGGCAGTAACTTCAAAGGATTCCCCGCCCTTGGCAACAACCGTGATTAACTTCGCCTCAAGACCAACTTTCGGGGACACGGCGGATTTGTTTCAAAATTTTGTGACACGTGGCGTATCGGCCTTCATGTATTTTCAAAGCGTAGGTTCGCGCGTCGATCACAATGTCGCCCTTCTTTCCCGCCCCTCTCCTCACCGTCCTGCTATACGGTCCTACAATCCGCCGGTGTCCTCTCCTTTTCGCGCCGTCCGTCTGCTTCTGTGGCTGGGTGCTGCGTCTTAATGCAAAAGGTGTTAAAGTGATAAAAAAAAAAAGTCCGTTAATCGCGCACAATAGGAGCTAACATCGTGGAACAAAACAGAAATGGGAAAGAATACGTAGAAAAGATCAAAACTTCTTCGAGAAACCAGTTTCATTCTAGAGGCCAAAATTCCAAAATCCCAAAATCAAGACTGGTTTGAAAGAGTCGTCTTGAAATGAGCAAATATACTGATCATATATATATTTAGAAAAAGAAAAAGTACATGGTCGTGTAAAGCCCAAAGTTGCAGTTGGAGGAACTAAGTGTACCACGGTTAAGCACATATAATGAAAGCAGAAGGGATGATATATATGGAAGGAATCACCACCCGACCTGCCAAGCAAAGTCGAGGCATGCCATCTCGCACCAGTATGTCAAAACTAAAACAAATATTTAAAAAAAATCATAAAATTTACCTTCTATGCTAAAACTCATAAAGAATACCATTGATTCCACACTTGTGTGGAATCAATGGCTCATCGCTGAATAAAATGGCGAGATGTAATGGTGTATGCTCTTGGTAAACCTTAGCAAAGTGTCTGTGGCGCTCTTGGTCATACAAAGGGCATACAAGTAATATGTGCAGGATGCTTAATGGTATGTGACAATGTTCACACTCTGGAGCATCCTCCCCTCGCAAAAGGTGCCCATGGGTAAGACGTGTATGACCGATTCAGAGTCGACATAATATCACCTCATAAAATCGCTCACGATGACGTGCACTGTCCCATTCTTGAATTAAAGATTTTATGGCATGCAACTTATTGTTCATTTCTTGGTTCCACTCCTCTTGCCACTTGCACTTTGTAGATTTTTTCAGGGCATGTCTATAATCTCTGTAGGGTATCTTGTGCAGATCCATTTGTCGATCCTTAGCAGTGCTCGCTGCACGGTCAGCATCCTCATTCCCAGGAATTCCTACATGGGAAGGTACCCAGCACAATGTTATTTCTTTCTTCCTTTTTGATGCTGAATGTAACCGGTTCCTTATTTCTAGAACAAGTGGATTTTAAACATCCCCCATTGTGTCCAGAGCTCGTAAAGCACTAAGTGAGTCAGTGTAAACAATTGACTTACGGATCTTCTTTTTAAGAATGTGGTCTATGGCAAGGAGTAAGCCGTAAAGCTATGCGGAAAGAATACAGGCATTATTGTTAATTCTCTGGACACACTTCACGGAAGGCCCTACCACTGAGCAGCCTACATAGGAATCAGTTTTGCTCCCGTCAGTGCAGAAACTGGTGAAGTCTCGGTACTGGTCCTGGAGTTCGAAGCATTCTTGTCTCAGAACTTCATTAGGGGTCTCTTTCTTGTTGTATTTTGTTAATTTCAACTCACAGTGGAGGGGCATGAGGTCCCAAGGAGCTACTGAGTTCAAGGGCTGCACAACTGAGGGTAGCACATCCAGCCCTACGGACTCAGCAGAAGAACGAATTCTCATGGCGAGAGGTGGAACAAATGAAGGCTTGTTTATGAAAGTCTGCTCATAGTGTACTTGTTCTATGCAGTCCAGGGTCGGGTGACCAGGAACAGACCTAATTCGCAGAGAGTACATGAAGCCTAATTCAAACCTCCTTTTCTCCAGTGAGGGCTCATTTGCCTCTACATATAGGCTGAGTATTGGAGATGTGCGAAAGGCACCAGTGGAAAGTCGGAGCCCCTGATGATGAATGGAGTCCAGCATCTTGAGAACCGATGCCCGTGCGGAGCCGTACACAATACAGCCATAATCAAGTCGGGAGCGTACGACTGAGCGGTAGATGCGCAATAAACAACACCGATCAGCCCCCCAGGATACGTGCGAAAAGACCTTTAGTATATTAAGTGATTTTACACATTTCATTTTGAGGCTCTTAACGTGTGGAACAAATGTCATTTTTGAGTCAAATATAAGACCTAAAAACTTGTGTTCGTTCTTTACTGCAATAGGGACTTCATACATAGTTAAGGAAGGCTCAAGTAAAATTCCGCGGCGATGAGAGAAGCACACACAAACAGTTTTCTCAGGAGAAAACCTAAAACCATTTACATCCGCCCATTTGACCAAATTGTTGATTGCAAGTTGAAGTCGACGTTCACAGATGGACGGATTACAAGATGAGACTGAAATTTGTACATCATCAACATAGAGCGAGTACTGAACAAATGGCGGTATAATACGAGAAATTGAATTCATTTTTACGATAAAAAGTGTCACGCTAAGCACACTGCCTTGTGGGACTCCATTTTCTTGCGAGAATTCTTTAGAAAGAGTTGCCCCAAGCTTCACACGAAAAGTGCGATCCCGGAGGTAACTATGGATGGCACCTAGCATTCTGCCCCGAAGACCAATGTTCAACAAATCCTGCAATATGCCGTGGCGCAAAGTTGTATCAAATGCCTTTTCCAAGTCAAAAAAGACAGAGAAGCAATGCTGTCTATTTACAAAGGCCTCTCGCACAGCAGTCTCAAAGCGGACCAGATGGTCAACCGTCGATCGAGCTGAGCGAAATCCACACTGGTAACGGTCAAGTAGCTTGCTTCTTTCTAAATAAAATATGTCTTTTATTTATCATCCTTTCTAGTGTCTTTGAAAAACAACTCGTGAGAGCTATCGGCCTAAAGCTAGATAGACAGGTAGGATCCTTTCCTGGCTTCAACAGGCGAATTATGACAGCCACCTTCCAAGATGAGGGGAAGCAACCTTCAAGCCAAATGCGGTTGAACAAATATAATACAAGCTCAAGAGTTGATGGATGGAGGTGCTGAAGCATTTTGTAATGAATACCGTCTGGCCCAGGAGCCGTCTGTTTGGACGAATGGAGTACCCGCTGTAGTTCAAAAAGTGTAAATAATGAATTATAGGGCTCCTGCAAGCCACCTGACAAAGGAACTGCCTTTTTCTCTGCCTGTAGCTTGTGTCTCTAAAATGACGGAGTGTAATGTTGAGAACTTGAAACGAATTTGAAATGCTCACCAAGGACATTCGCCTGTTCTTCTAGGCTGGCAGGGCATACTCCGTTGTGGTTCAGGAGTGGGACAGAAAATACCCGGTAGAAGCCTTCAATTTTATGCACACGGTCCCAAACTTCCTTCGAGGATGCACTGCTATTAATTGAGGAAGCATACCCTCTAAAGCTTTGCCGCTTGGCTCGCCGTCGGATATACCTCGCTTGCGCTCGTTTTTTCTTAAAACCGATCAGGTTATTGGCCGTGGGATAGCGCCTGAGAATACCCCATGCATGATTTTGTTCTTTCTTTGCCTGGCGGCAGTCTTCGTTCCACCACGGTTTTGGCCTTTTTGGAAGATGTGAGGACGTCAT